TGCACATGTACATGTGCATGGCCTCCTGGCCAAGAAACACCACACAGAAGCTGCTTTTTTTTTCTTTTTCATTTCTTTATATGCATAAGTCAGTATTAGTTGTGTTCAGCTTGATTACCTGAAAGTAAATCAGAGGAGATTCTTGAGAAATGTTATAAAGGAAATGAACTTTCTGACAATTTTGGTGTTTAGTCTAACCTCAAAGCAATTGAATTCCAGTTCTCAAGTCAATAAAGGTGAAGTGGAGACTAATAATCCAAAAACTAATAATAATGTAGTTCTTAGGAACATCTGTTCCTATTTAAACTACATCTGCTCTGTGAGCTGTGCCCCATTCATTAATACCACTTTTTATTGTGTTTATTTAATGATGATCTCCTTAAAAAAAAAAAAACAAACACCTATGAATCCATTGTCTGATCCAGTTTGGTTTTTTTTGTTCCTTGTCCTATCTCCAAGTTTCTTATCAGAGGAAAACTCTACTGTTCTAGATTTTATCACCATTCCTCCTTTGTTTCATCATTACATATTTTAAAATCTCTTTCTTTCTTTCTTTCTTTCTTTCTTTCTTTCTTTCTTTCTTTCTTTCTTTCTTTCTTTCTTTCTTTCCTTTTTTTGTTTTTTTTTTGTTTTTGTTTTTTGGTCATCTTTTTGAGACAGGGTTTCTCTGTGTAATAGCACTGATTGTCCTGGAACTAGCGCTGTAGATCAGACTGGTCTGGAACTCACAGAGATGTACCTGCTTCTGCCTCCTGAGTGCAGAGGTCATGTGCCACCGCTGCCCAGCTAAATTTTTGACATTGTTGTCTTTGTACCTAGAGACATTAATTTGTTTTGAGTACCTAAAAATGCTGATTTCATTCTTTCTCCTTTTCCGATTGGTCTGGGCCCTTACAACAAATTCTTAGTCTTCTGAATCTTCTCCCCATTCAGCTGATTTTCTTTCTTTGTGCCCTGTACCAGTTGTCAGACTGTGGGAACCTTTTGTCTTACCTTGATAGGAAGAAACCTGTTTGACAGCGGAGAAGTAGCCACAGGCAGGCCAGTGCAGTAGCATTTGGCGCCCTCTAGTGTTACAGCTCCTATGCAGACCTCTGGTAAGATCCTTAGCCCTGCAAAGTGAAAGCTACAGTGCTTCTGTAGGCCTAGGAAGTTAGAATGCCTTAGCCCTTGGCAGAAGCTGAGTTCTGGGTATGTCAAGATATGGAGATTCCTTAGCCCTTGACAGCTGTCAGTTTTACAGCTCCAGACCTTGAGGTATCTGAAACCCTCATTTCCAAAAGCTTGACAAGTCTCTGGAAGTCTTCTAATAACCCCAGTCTGGGATGTCTCTTGGATAGCCTTCTATCCTTCAGCCTCTGTTCTTGTTCTTTGTCTGCTTTCTCTGTCTCATCCTAACCTGGCCATCTTTGGGAACTCCTCAGCTCCTTCTTTTTCAGCTGTCAAACAGCCAACTACCTTGCCACTTTTTGCAGTCTGGCCTGCAAGCTGCCATTCTTGCTTTTCTATTGACTCGGCTTCCTATGTTAGCAGCTCAACCCTCATAACTAAAAGCAGCAAGAAAGGACTGCTAGAGAAAAATTTTGTATTGGACTTAGTGTTGCAATACTGGGACATGTATCACAGGGTGGTCTCCCAACTAAGTCACCAAGTGAACCAAACAGCCTGCTCATGTAGCCAGGGAAGGGATCAGAATGTGTTTGCACTAATTTTTCATTATCAGTGATGAATTATAATGATGAATATATCCCTCTTAAACCTCTGTCATTTGCAAATTAGAAATATTCAAGTTATTAATGTAATGACCACCTCCTTCCTATATCCTTGGGTACGGTTGGTAGAAAGTTATCTATTTTATAAAGTTGATATTTCTTCATCATGTACATAGGAACCTTTTTGGGTTTTCAAGTCAGGGTTTCTCTGTCCCTAGCTGGAACTCACTCTGTAGGCCTGGCTGGCCTCTGACTCAGAAATCCATGTGCCTCTGCCTCTTGAGTGCTGGGATTAAATGTGCCACCACCTCCTGCCTCCTTCTTTCTCTCCCCTCCTCTCCCCTCCCCCTTAAAAATTACTAAGTTAAGCATAACTGTGCATGTAGCATTTTCCTGATCTGGAGGAGAGCCAAAAACAAACAAACAAACAAAAAAAAAAAACCCAACAACAAAAAACTTGTTTGCTGTTTGGGCTTCATAATTTGCTTCTCACAAATAGAAGCCAATTTTGTCCATGAAGTTTATTAGGAACATTTTTAGGAGCCATACTTGTTCTTCCATAATTCTCACTTGTGCTTCTCCACTTTTGTGTATGTGTGTATGAGACAAAAATTTATTGAAAATTTATCAGTGGGTATATATGATCCATGGTGCTAGTCATATGGAGCTGTCACAGAAATGTAAAACAGAAGAGAGAGTGAAGAAAATGTTACATATTGTCATCATCTGATTCATCTTCTTCCTTCAAAGATTCCTCAGCCTGTTTCTCTGCTTCCTCCCTTATATCTTTTAGAACAATTTCATGTCTTCCTTTAGTTCATTTCTCCAACCCAGCTGAGCTCTAGTTCAAAAGCTTTATCCTTAAAATATTTTGCAGTTCTTTTAACTACTCCACAGCAAGTCATTTCTTTCATCTGAAGCTTTTCTATTTATTTCTTTGCAGCTTTCTGGCTTTAATGGTATAGCCCCAATAAATATATGAAATAACCAGTGGGTCAATACATATAGAACTGTGCATCCTCTTTTACACTGTAAGATCCTAACTTGAAACTACAGCCAAAATGTCTTAACAGCACCTTAGAGTCTGTACGTGTGTACATGGCCACTCTGCAAGATGTTTAAGAGGAGTGTTACAGCCAAAGTTAGATCTAAAGTTGGATGCTTCTCTTCTTGCTCTGTCTGCTAATGAATGAACATCTGCCAACAGATCTGTGACTGTCATTCTAACATGTCAATCAACATTAAGAAGTCGCTTATTGGAGCCTTCTTTATAAAGTTTAGAAAGGACTAATTTTTTTTACCTCAAACATAACACTGGGGCTCAGAGGTTAAGTGCACTGGCTGCTCTTCTAGAGGTCCTGAGTTCAATTCCCAGCAACCACATGATGGCTCACAACCATCTGTAATGAGATCTGGTGCCCTCTTCTGGCCTACAGAATCTTATAAAATCTTAATAAAAACAAAAAACAAAAAACACTTAACACTGTTTTTACATTTGATCCCAACAGCTGTACTGTTTTCCACAACCTTCATAGCATATTCATCTTGAAAAACTCTTCCATCAGGAGAGAATTTTACTCTAGATTTTTTACTCAAGATTTTACTCTAGTCCAGGCCAGCCTGGAACTGTGTAGCTCAAGCTGGCCTAAATATTCCTCCTGCCTTGGGCTTTGAAAATGCTTAAAATTACTTAAGCATACACCTGACAATACTTAAGCCAGGCTCCTTTTCTTTCTGGTTTAATTTTGTTTTGTTTTGTTTTCGAGACAGCCTCTTACTATGTATCCTTGTCTAGCAGGGAGTTTGATCCATAGACCAGGCTGGCCTCAACTAACAGATCTGCCTGCCTTTGCTTCTGTGTTAAATGTAAAGGTGTGAGCCACCCAGCCTCTAGTTCTCTTTCTAAGCAACAATACTTAATTGCACATGCACATGCACACACACAAAAGAGTACATTTAAAATAATAAAATTAATAGTTGTTAGTATATTTACAGAATATCATCACCTTAATCTGATTATGGAACATTTTTAGCATCCTGAAAAAAAGCCTCTGGCATTCCACACAGTCCCTATAATGTTGTTTTTTCGAGACAGGGTTTTCTCTGAGTAGCTTTTGAACCTGTCCTGGAACTTGCTCTGTAGATAGACCAAGCTGGCCTCAAACTCACAGAGATCTGCCTGCCTCTGTCTCCCAAGTGCTGGGATTAAAGGCATGCGCCACTACCACCCATCTCCCTATAGTGTTTTTACTTCTGTATAAGAAGTCTTGCCAGGCGGGGGTGGCACACGCCTTTAATCCCAGCACTCGGGAGGCAGAGCCAGGCGGATCTCTGTGAGTTCGAGGCCAGCCTGGGCTACCAAGTGAGTTCCA